TGTATAAGAAGACATTTTTTAAGGGAAATTCGAAGAAAAAAACTTCTCAATGAAATAAAAGTCCTAATTTCTCAGGTCTAAGGTTTATTTAAAAAAAAATATATATATATATATATATATATCGTTTGTTTTTGTTTTTTGTTTTTTTTGTTTTTTGTTTTTCAGAGATTTTATATTTTGATATTATATAGAATCTTCCAAGCGTATCTTTCTCAGATTAAGTTTTATGACCTGCATTCTTTTCAAATGACGTCTTACAGATCCCATTCTCTTCACTTCCAGCCCAATACAAGCGTCTGCTCTTTCTGTGCACATTAACCAATAGAAATGCTGTTGCTATCAATTATGCAGACCAATAGAAATCAACTTAGAGGAAATCCGAACCCCAGAAGTGAAGAGAAAGTAATCTGTTAAGCCCAATTTAAAAAGAATGCAGTTAAAAAAAAATCTAAGTGCTTTGCAGTCATTTATGGCCGATTTTATTCTTATACCGCTAAAAAAAATTAATGTGCATTTGTGTTCCATGACTGCTAATAGAATGCAGCTGCTCGTTTAAACAGCATGAAGACAGAGGAAGAGCACAGAGAGGAACCTGTGATGATGTTTAAACCAGGGCTCAGTTATGAAACAATATCTGGGACTTTGTGTATCACGCTGGGCGCCATTTCTGTCATAAACAATAACAGAAGAATGACAGAAATGCTAACCTAGACGTAACTCTGGAAGCCTGCACTATTTTCCATCCCAGGGTGTTTATAGTTAGGAGAGACAAACCAAAACATACTTTTGAAGCATCTTTGCTACTTTGCGTTAGTCTTTCTCATGAAGTCTGTCCTGAATACAACGTTTGAGGCTCTAATGTCGCATTATGCAAAAAAAAATGATGCAGTTGTTGCAGTCAAAGCCTTGTTGCCTGAGTGATTCAATTGTTCTGGAATCATTTATATCAACACCACATTTTTCATATAAAACCAAAATGGCCGACATATAAAATCTCTAGCGTTAAACACACTTGATCTGTGTATTTTTTGTCAAATATACAAGTTCAACCGAATACTTTTTGTATGATTCATGTAAATTACACAATAACCTTTAATTAGAAGTTAAACAGTTTAACTATTGATCTAAAAAAAACTGTATGGATTTTTTAACTCAAGGTGTTAAAGACAATCTCCTGATATTAAGCTAAGAAACCAATATGGCTGCCTTGCATCAACAGTAGTTTTTAGGCAATGCATTATACAAAGGAAAATCTTTCCCTCCCTCCAGTACAGTAGTTCATGTGTAGCTTGGTCCCTAAACGTGTCAGTTATTCATTCCTTGCTGGTTTCATCCAGACTTCTGATTCTCAGTTCCAAGTTCTGATTTCATTGGTAAATGAAACACATCATAGAAAAATGGCTTCAAGCATTTGTTCCTGATTCCCTGATGCTGAGCTCAGATTATTTTAGAAGTTCCTGAAATGTTCGTCACTGCTCTTTTCTTTTATGATGTTTCTAACAAAGCAAAGGTCAGCGTGTTTGAACGTCCCCATTTCTGTTATTAGTTCTGCATCACAGTTTATTCCATTCAGGTTCATTATATCAACATTTCTCTGCTTATAAAGTTCCTACCACTAGGATTAGTGTAATAGACCACTTTAAAAAAAAGAAAAGAGTTTTTGTCTTTTCTGTACGGAAGAGGATTAGGGCCACTAAAAAAGAAAAAAAGGTTAACTGATTTTAAAATTTTATTTCAGTTCAA